CATTTCCTTCCGGGTCCCAACCAGAGACATAAGGTCAGAAATGGATACATGACATTTTCCACTGATCATTTTTTGTAAAAAAAAAAAATAGAAACATAATTTACATTATTCGGACTATCTTCCTCATCTTTGTCGCCATATTTATTATAACGTTTCGGCCGCTGTACGCTCCGGACTTCTGCAGGTGGTTGGAATGTCGAACTGAACCCTTTATTTCGCTCACTGGGGAAGACTGCTCTAGTTCCACGTGCCATGTTTAATGGATGTCAGTTGTCAGTTATCTCCTGTTAATTCCCCTCTCCAAGTTCTCCACTGCCTTAACCGGGTATTGAACTCACACTCTTTGGGTCCTGTCACTAGATCTAACTAACGCTTTTATCCACTGTGCCATGTGTTGAGATTAAACATGGCACGTGGAACTAGAACAGTCTACCCCAGTGAGCGAAATAAAGGGTTCAGTTCGACATTCCAATCACCTGAAGAAGCCCGGGGTGTACAACGGCCGAAACGTTGTAATAAATATGGCGACAAAGGTGAGGACAATAGTCCGAATAATGTAAATAGTGTACATAATACCTCATCTCAGAAATATAGACAGATACTGAACGGCCGAAACGTTGTAATAAATATGGCGACAAAGATGAGGACAATAGTCCGAATAATGTAAATAGTGTACATAATACCTCATCTCAGAAATATAGACAGATACTGAACGGCCGAAACGTTGTAATAAATATGGCGAAAAAGATTAGGACAATAGTCTGATTAATGTAAATAATGTACATAATACCTCATCTCAGAAATATAGACAAAAAAGAAACAATTGTCACACGTATTTTCCATAGATAAAGCCGTTCTTAAAGTTGTACTTATGAATACAATCTTTCGTATTTCTTTAAGGCATGGGATACGAGAGATTCCTTTCACGAGTTTGTTAGAACCATTTCCAATCAATCAGAGGGCACCAACTACAACTAGAATTATTGATATCCTTATGTACCACTTTTTCTTTTTAGATTTCTACTTCAAGATCCTTGTATTATTATTATTTGACAGAAATGCAAGAAGCTGGAAATGAGTTCCACGGGCGAGAGCAGAAACTATTTGAATAGAAGTTTAAGATAACACCCCTAGCAATTTTGGCAGCAATGAAATGATGATATGTAGTACCCTAGTTAAATTTGTGAAGCAGTGTTACCAAAGAAAATAATTCATCAGAACAATTGCCATGAAAATATTTATAGAAATGGTACACAGAAGGTACTTTACGACGGTGGGAAAGTTATTGATACCGTAATGGCAAATCTCTCTATATAAAAAAAGAGGATGTCTGTGTGTCAGTCTGCGTGATACCTTTTCACTCGAGATCCATTCAGCCCATTTTCACCACTTGGCGTGTACATCGTACAATGTAAGAGATAGATTCTTAGCTTAAAAAATCAATATTTAAAAAAAAAAATAATCGATGAAGCCGATGAAAAATCGATAAATTTTTTCCTGTAATTTCGTTCGAACTCGGTATGTAGGTTACTTGCATAATGACGAGCTCAATACCTCACTTTGCTTTCTACGCCACTGCATTTAGCGAAAAACGAAAACTCGATTTCAAACAAATTTTAAACTAAAAGCTCCATCAATTTTCAAGCAATCTAATACAAACTTCACTCAGTTGTAGCCAACAATATGTTGATTGTTTAACAGTCATTTTACTTGATAATTGAGTCTACCCATCTAGTGAAAACCCGCGCAAATAGCGAAAAATGGCGATTTTTATTGAGTTTTTGGTTTCTTTCTTATTTTCCGTTGATCTTTCAACCAATTTTCATCAAACTTAACAATTGCTTTATAAATGTATCCTCTTTTGCATCCCTGGTCACACACTGACAAATTGAACTTCAAATACTCCAAAATAATTGTGGTTTGAAGTGGGTCTTCATGTTGCCTGTTTTACCCCTACTAATTGGCTAATTTCGATTGAATAAATAGACTACTTCTGTTATATCAGTAACTGCATTAATTCAAAATATTTTAAATGAAAGTACTTTAAAGGAATTGAGGAAGATAGATTCTGTCACATCGAAACATGCTGCTGTTTTTGCTCCATTCAAATTGAACGTTTTTTCTGATCAACCAGCTTGGGTAGGCTGCTAGTAATAAGCTCAAATTGATAGCTCATATGACTCGCAGACGAAATAATCACATATTCAACATGCTGACTTTACAGGCTACTTCGAAAAAAAGTTTAAGGAGGAAGTCTCCATCAATACCAGAAAAAGTGGTAACAGTTTGTGGACTTGAGAAACCTATTTTCCTGAAAATAGGTTTTTAGAAAAATATATTTTCAGAAATTTCAACCGACTGTAACGCTCAGATGTCAGTGAATGCTGAATGTTTGCTTATAAGGAAAGGGCTAATCTTACCATTACTGTCGTATTTAGAGCCTTATAATTAGAACAGCTGCCATGGGTGCCACTTAGAAATGGCGTCACGACTCCGCTGATCACAGATTGCTGTGCAGTATTCATTAATTTGACATTCAAATTCTAAAATATCTGGCAACATTCGACACCGTGGCACTTTTTTTATTTGGAGGGAGTGGGATTTTTGTTGTATTTTTTTCCTTGATATTGAGTGGTTCTGATTGATAAATTTGCATTCTTGAAAACAAGGAAGATCCGCTGTATAGGCCTACCCACCGTTTAGTTCCTTGCTTTGTCTTCTCGAAGAACCGGGGGAATAACATTTCTTCTTGTGGCGCCATTATATTTTCGTAATTCCTCAATAAAGAATTTAAAAGATTATTAAAAAAAAAATTCGTTTTGTCATTAAATATTTTATAGCTAGTCAGATGCTACATGATTGAGCTGTTTTTTAAGGATTGTCAACTTTTTGCAGATATTTTGAAAGCCAGAAAATATTTTCAGATTGTAACTTTTTTTGGAGATAATAATTATTTATTGATAAAAGTCCTCTTCTTTAAACCAAATCTTGGATGGAAAAGAGGTGGATCCACATCTTTCTCAATTGTATTGGCACGTAGATGAATATAATGAAGTCGACTGAAATTTAAACTCAACAGCACAAGTGATTTTCAGTTCCGAGCACTGACACACTACAAGTTAGGTAATGACATTAACTGTTAAAGTTTTTATCTTTACAGTAATGTTCACCTTGTACAACAACCTAAGAGTCACTCGAGGTAGAAGATTATAGAGTAAGAGGTACAGTTTATGAGGACAGGGGAGGACAATAACCGTTAAAACTAGTCCTGAACAGATTAGGATTATAGCGATATAGTAAGCATCCTCTTCGGATTTGGCTCCAAAGTGTAGTGTTAAAAGGCTGAGATTGTAACAATCAGGCAAGCATCCTCTAGGGATTCGCTTCCATAAAATAGTTCACCTAGTCTTGAGACAGGCTGGTTGTAGTGATTAAGTAAGCAACACCTTGGGATACGGCTCCACAAAGTAGTTCCCCTAGAATAAAGACAAGCTGACATTGAAGCAATTAAGTAATCATCTTCATGGAATTCGGTTCCACAAAATAGACATGACATGACACAAGCTACGATTGTAGGGATCAGGTAAGCAGCCTCACCTGTTCTTTTATTCTCCTCTTTTCTTAATATCTTCTTTTTCTCATATTATTCCAAACTCATACGTTTATCCCTTGCGTCTTAGTGACTTCATTGCCTTTCTTGGTGCAAAATGATTAAAAAGATAGCCGCGTTTGAGTTCTACTAAAAGTAACGTTTGAGGTTATAGAAATTTGTCATATTAAAAAAGTAAAAATAATTTCTATAGAAATATATATATATATATATATATATATATATATATATATATATCTGTGACTTGCATTTTTAGACAGGTAGGTCTAACCTGCATGCTAGAGTAGTAGATGATTAAATAGGGGCGTAATTTCAGCGCTTGGCCACTTTTCAGAAATAGGGCTCCTCTTTGCTCTGAGCTTATTCATATATGACAGTTCTCTGGGGCACTCCGGCGTGGTCTAATGTTTAAAAATCTTATCTCGCTTGATCAGTTATGATTGAATAATCAGTCGGATCCTCACTGGGTGCCCCATACGTTCGGTCTTGTGCCACGTCGAAGTTACGCTTACAAAATCACTATTGGGCACTTCAACAGGGTGCTAGATCAATTAGGACTGAATAGTGAGTTCGATCCGCACTGGGTGCCCCATAATTTTGGCCTTGTGCCATATCTAAGCTAAAATTAGAAAAGCACCATTGGGTACTTCGATGTAGTGTAATGCTTAGGAAGCTTGACTCGCTAGATCAATTACGACTGAATAGCGAGTTAGATCCTTACTGAGAGCTCCATACTTTCGGCCTTGTGCCACATCTAAGTAACGTGTAGAAAATCATCATAACATTACTCCGACTGGGCGCCTAGCGTAGAGCAATATTTAGCAAGCGATTTTCGACAATTCACTGACAGTGAATTCGATGGTCACTGGACGCTCTTTTCTTTAGGCCCTGTGGCAGAATTACTTTAACTTGGGAATATCTGCACACAACGAAGGCGTAGAGAGTTACTATTATAAGTCACGAATTTGTTTTCTCACCGGATTTCTTTCATCTCCACAGCAAAATGTTCCTTGGAGAGCACGAAAACCTACAAGGATTTATTATCAGCAGACATAATCTTAACATTATAAGATTAAAGCGAATGACAGGTGTTGATGGAAGATTCTGAAACAAAAAAAGGAAAAATTGATCTTTGTCAAAATGGTAAATAAATGCAAGGAAAAGAAGAAAAGACTAAATAATAACAGAAAGAAAAAAAAGGACCAAATAATAAAGGAAAGAAAGAAAGAGCTAAATGATAAAGGAGAGGAAGAAAGGACTAAATAATAACAGAAAGGACTAAATAATGAAAGAAAGAAAGAAAGAAAGGACTAAATAATGAAAGAAAGAAAGGACTAAATAATGAAAGAAAGAAAGAAAGGACTAAATAATGAAAGAAAGAAAGAAAGGACTAAATAATGAAAGAAAGAAAGAAAGGACTAAATAATGAAAGAAAGAAAGGACTAAATAATGAAAGAAAGAAAGAAAGAAAGAAAGAAAGGACTAAAGAAAGAAAGAAAGAAAGGACTAAATAATGAAAGAAAGAAAGAAAGAAAGGACTAAAAATAAAGAAAGAAAGAGAAAGGACTAAATAATGAAAGAAAGAAAGAAAGAAAGGACTAAATAATGAAAGAAAGAAAAGAAAGGACTAAATAATGAAAGAAAAAGAAAGTAAAAAGGACTAAATAATGAAAGAAAGAAAGAAAGAAAGGACTAAATAATGAAAGAAAGAAAGAAAGAAAGGACTAAATAATGAAAGAAAGAAAGAAAGAAAGGACTAAATAATGAAAGAAAGAAAGAAAGAAAGGACTAAATAATGAAAGAAAGAAAGAAAGAAAGGACTAAATAATGAAAGAAAGAAAGAAAGAAATAAAAGGACTAAATAATGAAATGAAAGAAAAAAGAAAGAAAGGACTAAATAATGAAAGAAAGAAAGAAAGAAAGGACTAAATAATGAAAGAAAGAAAGAAAGAAAGGACTAAATAATGAAAGAACGAAAGAAAGGACTAAATAATGAAAGAAAGAAAGGACTAAATAATGAAAGAAAGAAAGAAAGAAAGGACTAAAGAAAGAAAGAAAGAAAGGACTAAAGAAAGAAAGAAAGAAAGGACTAAATAATGAAAGAAAGAAAGAAAGAAAGAAAGGACTAAATAATGAAAGAAAGAAAGAAAGAAAGGACTAAATAATGAAAGAAAGAAAGAAAGGACTAAATAATGAAAGAAAGAAAGAAAGGACTAAATAATGAAAGAAAGAAAGAAAGAAAGTACTAAATAATGAAAGAAAGAAAGGACTAAATAATGAAAGAAAGAAAAAGAAAGAAAGGACTAAAGAAAGAAAAAGAAAGAAAGGACTAAATAATGAAAGAAAGAAAGAAAGAAAGGACTAAATAATGAAAGAAAGAAAGGACTAAATAATGAAAGAAAGAAAGAAAGGACTAAATAATGAAAGAAAGAAAGAAAGAAAGGACTAAATAATGAAAGAAAGAAAGAAAGAAAGGACTAAATAATGAAAGAAAGAAACATCTATGAAAGTAATTCTATATTGATACTTATTATTAACACTCAACACACGCCTACCCAATTTAAACAATTCGCCCTAGCTGTTACCATGGAAATTTTGATTTCAATTATTAAAAAACATTTAAATTTCAGAAAACGTTATTCAAAAAAAAATTTCGCTTGAAGATGGAACAGAGCTTACTTTAACTCAATTTAATTCAAATAATTATAAAGAAGTTTTCGGAAACTTGTTTTGAAACATCTTATGTCGCGAATTGAAGAAAGAAAGGACTAAATAATGAAAGAAAGAAAGAAAGAAAGGACTAAATAATGAAAGAAAGAAAGAAAGAAAGGACTAAATAATGAAAGAAAGAAAGAAAGAAAGGACTAAATAATGAAAGAAAGAAAGAAAGGACTAAATAATGAAAGAAAGAAAGAAAGGACTAAATAATAATGAAAGAAAGAAAGAAAGGACTAAATAATGAAAGAAAGAAAGAAAGAAAGAAAGGACTAAATAATGAAAGAAAGAAAGAAAGAAAGGACTAAATAATGAAAGAAAGAAAGAAAGAAAGGACTAAATAATGAAAGAAAGAAAGAAAGAAAGAAAGGACTAAATAATGAAAGAAAGAAACATCTATGAAAGTAATTCTATATTGATACTTATTATTAACACTCAACACACGCCTACCCAATTTAAACAATTCGCCCTAGCTGTTACCATGGAAATTTTGATTTCAATTATTAAAACACTTAAATTTCAGAAATACGTTATTCCCAAAAAAATTTCGCTTGAAGATGGAACAGAGCTTACTTTAACTCAATTTAATTCAAATAATTATATTGAAGTTTTCGGCTCTTGTTTTGAAACATGAGACCTCTTATGTCGCGAATTGGAATCATATTTTTAAATAAATAATTATATATATACACACACACACACACACACACACACACACACACATATATATATATATATATATATATATATATAATAGTTTTAGGTTCATTTATTCAAAAAGAAAATTTGAAAAAATACAATTAATCCTGGCTTATTTTCAATATAAATTAAAACCCTTAATCCCCGTTTATTTCAAATATAAATCCCGTCTATGTTAAATATGTAGAAAATAAATGGAAATACCTGCGTGTGTTAGGTTGTGGTCTAATGTGGGAATCAGAGTGTTTGGCATGGCTTTTTTTTAAAGCGAAGCCGCTCCGTACACTGGCTTTTCTAAACTATTTACAGAAAAGAGGTGGGATGCGCAGATCTGCCACCTTGTTACTCCCTTCTCATCATTTTTTTATTTTTTTTGTGAGAGGACTTTATAAGATCAAAGTGTTTCCATGGGTTTTCTTCTTCTCTCATTATTAATTGATCCGTAACTAAAAATTGGGTCGCGAGACAGGGCAGTG